CAAGTGGTGAAAAGACTCTGTAATTGTAAACTAATACAACCTTCACAGAACCTATCAGAGTATCTTGTCAATTTACATTTGTTACATTCTTTTGGTTTGCCTGATTTATAAGTTGCATTTCTTAATTCAAAGTCATAAATAAAATGTTCCTTACAATATTCTTTTTCATTTTCAGAAAGCTCTTTGTTTTTGTTGACTAATGAAAAATAATAATCTTTTCTACTTTTTCTATCAGAATTAACTGTTGCATTATTATGCATTTCATTATCAATTTTAAATACAAAGTCCTTTCTTTCTGATGATAACAATTTATAATGTGACATTATGTAAAATTTGACTTGTTGTTTCAATGATACTTTTTTTTTTTTTTCCAGAGAATATGAAATATCGTGTAACAAATATTCTCCTGCGCCCTTTTCACACACTAATAAATAATTATTTAAAGAACAACATTAACATCAACAAACTTTAACGATTGACTCGTCGTGATTCTAATGCTTCAAAATAAAGAATTTTAGTATTCTTCTTTTTCTTTGTTTATTATTTTATCACTTTTAAAACTTCAAAATTAAAACCCACAAACACTTGCACCTAAACCTGTCTCATGTACTATGTAAAAGTCGTTCTGCGTACCAATATTGACCAGCCTATGTATGTTTCAAAATTCAGACACTAAAGGCAGCTCAAGCACACTATTAATATTATTGCGCATTAGTTAATTTCAAAATCAAAATTCGAAAAAACATTGACACAACTCGTATATATGTAATAATAATGAGCTATTGTGAAATTTTGAAAAAAGAATTGCATAAATTTTCTACCTCATAACTACAACATTCTCAATCAAAACCACAAATTAAAAAATATTTGTTAAATCAAAAGTTTATTAAGGGGTCTCCGACTCATATTTATGTATCAACTGTTTCTTGTCGAGTATCCCTTTTAATCTCTACAGATGGACACAAATATTCTCCTCTTAGAATATTTCAACAAACACTATAAATTATTTCATTTTTATACGTCCTCATATTGTAGATGATCAAAAGGAAATTCCCAATTTACCTAATCATATAATTGCATGCTTTGCCCGTATAATTTAAAACAGGAAACTGATGTCTCTCTCTTATTCACTGAAAGATGCGCAAAAACTTCTATCTGAAGATTTTAATCGAAAATTTGATGACCTTGCCGAAAAGATTCAATTGCTATATGAAGAGATGCAACAAAAACAATTTGCGGAAGATGATTCAAGTGAATTATCAAGTTAGGCAATGCATTTTATCTTTTTTTTTCAATCCTTCCATGTCAATGATCCAGGTTAACTGTTTTGCGTTTATCTGTTCCAGCTTCGATTCATTCATTGTTTTCAAATCTGATATTGTGCAAAAATTCAAGAACCTTTTTCAATGATACTATGCAAGAAAATGATCATACTAAATCAGATTTTTTTACTGAAAGTGCGTTTTGGGATGAACCTTTGAGTTAAGAAAATATTTGCCGAAAAATTTTCAATAAAGTAATTTACATTAACAGAATACACATGTAAATAAAATTTCTAATTTTCACCTACAGTTCACTCTTTATGATGAACAAATTACATGTAGGGATGGATGATGGAAAATGATGCGCTATTTTTGAAAAATTTATTTTGATATATTGGTAGCCTATAATTTGCATACCTCTCTATTCTTCTTGTAATTGTTTTAGACAATGAACCGACATTGATAAAGAGTTGGTTATGTCCATGAGCTGGCCGGCTACCTTTTTTGAAAAATTCAGGAGTAACTTCAAAGAATTATATGTTGTTGGGCTAACATTATTTTTACATATTAACAATCTCCAAATATATGTAAGTTTTAGGCAATGGGATTTGATCAAAAATTTGTTGGGCCATCTCAAAATAATCATCTACAATCAAATCATTATTCAGTTAAGTTTCAAATATTTATTTATATATTTATTTATATACACATACAATAAGAGCTACTTACTACTAACAAAATTATAAACAATGAACAAAACATCTAAAAAAATCTTTTTTATAATTGTGGTGTAGAAAACCTTCATCACATTACCTTTCAGCATCACAAAAAAAATCATTCAACTTTGCTGAAGGCCAGAGATTTTTCTTATAGAATTTCTATTTGTAATAATGCTAACTTGGATATTCACATGTAAACATTTATTTGAATAGAAACTTTAAACAATAAATAATAAGTAACACCAACAATGAAGTCACTGTCATAAAGATTCATCAATGAATTTATTGTTATTATTATTATATAAAGAATATTTATTGTATAAAAAATAATCTTTCTTTTCTTTAAAAATTGAATAATTTTCTTCAGATTTAATAAAGCCGAAGACCTTTTTCATTCCCTGGTGATATAGTCACCTTTTTTTTAAAGAGTACTTTCGAATCATAGTGCTTATGATCACACTCAATAGAGTTTTCCCGGCTCTGTTTAAGACAAACATTTATATCAAGCCAAAAAAAACAATATTGTGCAAATGTAGGAATGTAAAACTTGGAGGAGCAAATTCTCTCGTCACACCTTCTCAATGCCAATCTTGGTTGGTGCTGATATTACACATTCTGGTCTGGGAGAATCTACCAAAGCATCTATAGCAGTATTATGTGATTCAATGGATGCTAAGGCATCAAGATAGTTAGTATTCAAACTCTTATGACTGGAATGATTGCAGGCTTGGCAGGGATGGCGAAAGAATCTTTTGTCATACCTGTGGAAGAAAAACTAGGACGAATTCTTTATTATTGTAATGGTGTCTCTGATGGAGAAATCTATTTCAGTGCTTGAAAACAAATTAAAGGCAGTTGGAGGTGGTGCCAATTTAATATTATCATTGTCATCATATCATGTCAATCACTTGATCCAATATATATAAACCAATTGTTACATTACATCTTGTACAAATTTTAAAAAAGATGCAGATCGAACAGGCAATTGTCTACTGAGAACATTAGTATGGGACTTGTAGCATATGATGGAACTGGTCTACTTTAAACCTTATTGCATAATCTGTCATATTTATTCTGTATTGTTGGTTTATTGTGCTCACTTTGTTCAACAGAGAGAGATACTTTCACGGTTTAGTGTATGTTTCTTCTTCTGGTGAGAAATCTGAAACAGTTCCAAATTATGGGAATTATCAAACTCGAATTACAAAGCATAATGTATTTTACTAGGCTAAATAATTTTATCAAAATTTTATTTATTTTGAAAGAATAACTAAATATTGTTTATAATAATAAATAATTTGTTAAAAATTATGAATTAAAAATTCAATTCTTTTTTTAATAATTTAACCCATTGATTCTACTATCAATTTTTTTTTTCGATCCATTCATCAATTGCTCCAACTAATTCATATTCCATTCTTTGTGAAGCAAAAAAATGGTCAGCATCTGTCAATTCTTTCACTGTCCAATTCTTATTTTCCAATAATTTATTTTCTTGTATCCACCTTCTGTACTTACCAACATTAGTAAATTGATCAGAATCACCATAAACAAATAAAACTTTGGGCCCAACAGCTATTGCTGCTTCTGATGATGATGGTGATGGTGGTGATGATGATGATGATGATGATGATGATGATGATGATGATAAAGTAATCAAAGATTTAATATATTGATTGTAAATTGAAGATTTAAAAAAAGATAAAAACCAAATAACTGATAATGGATAGCTTATGAATGCATAAGAAATAGGTAATGTTGTTGATGGTGGCAATAAAGATTGCAATGAAGAAGATATTAAAGAACCATAACTATATCCCTAAATAATAAAAAATAAACAAACACATAATCAGTTTTTTCCCTTTAAAGTTACATTATAGTAATAACAACAATAATAAAAGAAATGCTTACAATTATTGTTAGCTCAGAAATTTTTGGTATAGACATAATACTTTTATTTCCAAGTTTCCCTGAATTCAATAAAAATTCTACAATTGTTTTGTAATCGTAACATTCTGGCTCACCAGACCAGCTTGTTCTACCAGCTGATTTTCCGGAACCTCTATAGAAATTTAGTTTATCAGTTGAGAATTTCTTTGATTATCTTATATTATTTTTTTTTAAAAAAAAATTTACCTGAAATTAAAAGCAATGGTAAGATAGCCTTTTCTAAGAAAGAAATCTTCAACAGTTCTTACAACATTGTTGTGAAAATCTCCTCCTTTTATTTTGAACAATTGAAAACATTAATTTTAAATAATTGATATTTGCTATATTTGTCATATTGTGTAATACAAACCTAAAGGTCCGTAAGGATGTGAAATAGTAACACCTTTAACAGTCTGTGAATTTTGACCAATGTCAATATTATTATCATCATAATTAGTATCAGGTTTCCAATAAGATAATCTTATTTCTAAGTTTTTATTATCATATAAAGAAGGTAAAAGTGCATTTTCCACAATCAATCGTTTGTTCATTTTTTATTATTATTAAATTATAATTGCTCGTTCTCTTAGCCCAAACAAAAGTCAGGTTATAAATTTACCCGCAGTGTTGAAAATTCAATGCCCACACCGTCGTCACACGAAACCTGTGTATATATTAATCAAAAAAAGAACTTTTTATTTTTTTAAAATGATTTAAACCTTAAACTGTGATGGATGGTCTGTAAAATATCTATGTACCGTGATACACAATTGGAAAATTATTGCAATACTTACTAAATTTGTACTAGTTCCGTACATCAAAAATCTTTAATTCAAAATTCCTTTTTTTATTATAGTTTTGTGCAGCAACGATGATCAGTAATTAATTTAAATAAAGAATTATAATAAAAGCAAAGGAAACCTAGATGAGAGAAAGTAGTAACATGGGAATCTGAATTATGGATCACAAAGGGAGAAATTCTGTGTTCTAATAATACTACTTACTTACCTTGTGGACCCATTGGTAGAAATAAATAATTTTTTAAAGTTGCCGATTATTATTATTATTATTATTCAATTATCCGATTAATCGGATGCTGAAAATTTTAGCTTCGCCGATTGGTTAACTAAATAATTGATAAATAATCGCCGAATGCTATAATTGCATGCAAGAAACAATTAAAACAAATACAAACTTAACATCCTAACAAATAAAAATCCGTAAAGAATCATCGCTTTAAATAAAATTAAGCGACAATTGCGGAGCTTCGGTAAAAAGTCACGTTTTATTTGTTTTAGTGAGGCTAGGGATGACGTTGTCAACTAGTGAGCGTTAGCAACAGTTAGCGATGATGTAGCATCAGGAAAACTGGGCAAGACTTCTTGGAGTATTACAGATTACATGAGTTCGAGACGCGTCATTAATTACGCTCTTGTGATGTAAAAGGAAATGATTGATGATAATTGGGACATCAATTTATTATCTCACAATGCTGCAATACGTACATACATATGTTGTTATAATAATAAAAATCAAGGCGAATAAATATTAAACATTTTTTTGACCAATTTAATGGATACTTGTATCATTTTACTTACCAATTAACTACAATCTCAATCTCTTCCTATGAATCAAGTTTTTTATCGCATATCGGTCACATCCAAGTATAATTCTGTTCGTTCATCTTAACGTACGAGTAAGCACCAGAACATTGAGGATGATTGCATTAGATTGATCTGTATGGTAAACTGATTCTACTTTGTGACAACTAATAAAATGAAAAAAGCTTGCTATTTTAATAACAAACTCAATGAATCAAAAATAAAAATACTTTTTTCTTATTAATCAATTTGTAATATATATACTGCGTCTTTTAATGGAATTATACTAAACGTCATCTCAACATCATGATCTTGACATGGTATTTTGAATATAAAAATTATTAAAATTTTACTTTCTTTACTCTCTCTTAATATTAATGAAATTGGTTGTTCCATCCACTTACTAGATTCCAGTTCGTATTGGCTTTGCTGTATCATCTGATGTTATTATCGTAATAATAATTTTTTAAAATAACAAAGAATTGCTCCAATGGTAGTGAATGGATAATATTCTTTTGTCTGTTAGCAATTTGTTAGCAATATATTGTTTGTTGAATACGTTCTTGTGATATAATTATTTAATCAATAAGCCACGGGCTGCCAAAGTTATGCGGCTGATTAAACATTCAATTTACTAAACTGACTCTTTCTATAGAGGACAAAGTAAAAATCGCCATATACCAATTCATTAATTTTCTCCTTTTATAGCAAACATCTTAATAATATATTTTTATAACGATCAAAGGTGGAAGGCTCGCTATAGAGAGTGTGCGTGAAATCTATTTAATTATTTTATTGCATCATCATTTTAAAATATACAATTTAATTTTATTAGCTTTCAAAAAAATAAATAAATTCATACACGCACAAACAAGCAAGAGAGATAAAACGTGTTGGTTTTATGAAATTTCTTTCGATGCATGAAGACAAATTAGGCATTTATTTCACACAAAATGAATATTTATAAATCAAGGAATCATTTAGAATTGAATTTCATTGATAAAAAGAAGAAATCATTTATTTTTAATCTTTGTTAAAAGACTTTGTTTTACCTTGACAAAAAATCAAAAAATAAATAATGGAATTTAATCCTGAGCTTTCCGTGACTTCATGGTTTGTCAGCCCATTAACATTGCTGATATTTAGAGGAATGGCAGCAGCAATTACATGGATAAATTTCTTATTATGTTTATTTAAATTGGCTGATGGATGCTTTTTTTATTTTGAAAATTGGAGTTATTTTGGATTAATGATTTATTTTACTGTAAGGTTCCTTTACTTATCCGAAAAAAAAATTGTTTTCAAAAAGAGAAAAAAGTAATGTATTATTTTTTTAAAAAAATATAAAGGTTGCATTGCATTCCATCATTCAATAAAATATGTAAAAACTGGAACAACAAATTCATTTGATCAATCTCCAAAATTCTTTAATTGGACATTCTGGATACTTTATCATATACTTGTACACTACCAGTGAGTTTTTATTCAATTCAATTGGATAGGAAAATAATTTGTATTTATATAGTTTCTAAAATAACAACAATGACAATGATGATGATGATGATGATGATAGTTCCATTTTAATGTCACTATTTTGGGTATATTTTGTCAATTATTACAACCACGAATACCACGACAACTACGGCAACCAATACTACAACGACGACGACTACAGCAACTACTACTATAAGTATCTAATTAATTGCTGGCTTTTGATATCACGTTGGGGTGGGGATATTATTCTTACACTGATAGAACTATTTTTAAATAAGCAAATAATTGTATGGAGATTTGCTTTTATAACAATATTTTATATTTTTGAAGCAGCTTTAATTTATGTCATGTAAGAAAGATTAAAAAGTGAAAATAATTTTTTTTAGACATTTTCCGGTTACTAGTTTGTGGTATCAGGGCACACGAGCTGTCACTTTAATGGTTTCAGGTTTCATAATTTCATATATTATAACATTTTGGATCCATAGATTTAGAAATTTTTTTGGAAGAAAATATCATAACATGGATAGAAATCAACAAATTGCACATGATAATGAAATGGAACAAAGTGCACATAGCGTACATGTTGTTTAATCATGTATTCTATACTTTTGTATTAAATTGATGAATGTATTTTCTCTTAGTTTCGAATCCATTAAATTAGATTTGAAAATTTTTCTTGTTATTATTTAATTATTTAGGAGCTGAGATATAATAAATATTACTATTTTTTATTAACAAGTACATATGCACTGGTTTTGTTTGAACCCCAAAAATTCAGTACGACGTTATGTCATTGGTTTTGAGGTGGGGCCATTGGTTTAACGGGATGTTGAATAGTAAAATAGTTTTTTTTAGCGGAGCAAATAAATTTTTTAGGGTCAATTATCATTCTAACCAGTTTATACATTAAAAATACTCGTGTTTAACGAGATGGGCATTATGCAACTTTTCGAACACATATAATTCAATTGTTGATAATTTTAAAGCTGGTCTGATTGAATAAAAAAATATCACAAATTGGCTTTAATTTAGAAAATGAAAAATGAAGTCCGCAACAAAAATAACAGTTGCAAATAAAAATTTCAAATTCTTGTTGCTCTGCAGAAGAAATTCTATCAATAAAATTAATAATTGAGGTGTTAACTAAATGAGTTGCTTGAGATAAAAAAGAAGAAAAAGAAGAGGAAGTATAGGAAGTAGGATTCTCAAATTGTGATGACTGCGTAATTATATTTTGATTTTGTTGAAAAATATTCATCAAGTATATGATGTAAAACTTTGGTACATTTCTTAAGGTGTTGTTCACAACAATTCGAAGCAGTAAGCAATTTATGTGAACAATAATTACATTGAGCACTTTCTTGTTTATAAGTGACCTCATGGTCAAGCTTTGTAAAATCAGACCAAATTTTACCATATATTCATTATTCGTTGGGGCATTATGCGCATTTTGAAAAATTCAGTGCGCATTAGTGTTGGTTTCCAAAATTAGAGAGTTTTGCAACCGTGCGAAAGTCAAAAGGTTTCGCCATAAGTCGAAACTAGTTTTGATTTTTGACTATTGACTTTTGATTTAGTTTTGGCATATAACTTTTAATTTTAGTTTTGAATTTCACCTCTTCAAAATAGGGTTGGCAACTAACGCTAGTGCACATTATGCAATTTTGCCCATCTCTAATCTTAATAATATATTTTTATAACAATCAAAGGTGGAAGGCTCGTTATAAATAGTGTGTGAAATCTATTTAATTTTTTTATTGAAATTTTAAAAGTGTAACAACAGCTAAATATACAATTTAATTTTATTAGCTTTCAAAAAAAAATAAATTCATACACGTACAAACAAGTAAGAAAGATAAAGCGTGTTGGTTTTATGAATTTCTTTAGATGTATGAAGACAAATTAGGCGTTAATTACACAATGAATATTATAAATCAAGAAGTCATTTAGATTTGAATTTCATTGATAAAAAAAAGATATTGTTTATTTTTAATTTTTTATTAAAAGACTTGAAAAATGAAATTTAATCCTGAGCTTTTTGTAACTTCATGGTTTGTCAGCCCATTAACGTTGCTGATATTTAGAGGAATGGCAACAGCAATTACATGGATAAATTTTTTATTATGTTTATTTAAATTGGCTGATGGATACTTTTTTTATTTCGAAAATTGGAGTTATTTTGGATTAATGATTTATTTTAGTGTAAGGTTCCTTTTACTTATTTGAAAAAAAAAATTTATTTTCAAGAAAAAAGTAATGTATTATTTTTTTAAAAAAATATAAAGGTTGCATTCCATCATTCAATAAAATATGTAAAAACTGGAACAACAAATTCATTCGACCAATCTCCAAAATTCTTTAACCAGACATTCTGGATACTTTATCATACAGTTGTACACTACCAGTGAGTTTTTTATTCAATTCAATTGCATAGAAAAATAATTTGTATTTATATAGTTTCTAAAATGACAACAACGACAATGATGATAGTTCCATTTTAATGTTACTATTTTGGGCATATTTTGTCAATTATTACAACAACCACAACTACTACGACTACCACTACCACTATGACAACTACAACAGCTACACTAATTATCTATCTAATTGGTGGCTTTTGATATCACGTTGGGGTGGGGATATTATTCTTACACTGATAGAACTGTTTTTAAATAAGCAAATAATTGTATGGAAATTTGCTTTTATAACAATAGTTTTAGTAATATTTTATATTTTTGAAACAGCTTTAATTTATATCACGTAAGAAAGATTGAAAAGTGAAAATAATTTTTTTTTTTTTTTATAATTTAATTAATCATTTTTATTATTTTAGATATGACTTTCCGGTGTATGGTTTTCTTAGTTGGCGGTATCAGGGTACACGAGTTTTCACTTGGTATACTTTAGTGATTTCGGGTTTCATAATTTCATATATTATAACATTTTGGATCCATAGATTTAGAGATTTTCTTGGAAGAAAATATCATAACATGGATAGAAATCAACAAATTGCACATGACAATGAAATGGAACAAAGTGCACATAGCGTACATGTTGTTTAATCATGTATTCTATACTTTTGTATTAAATTGAAATCAGATTTGAAAATTTTTCTTGTTATTATTTAATTATTTATAGATATAATAAATATTACTATTTCTTATTAACACGTTTGCGTATTAGGATCCTTACATATGCACCGATTTTGTTTGAACCCCAAAATTCAGTACGACGTTATGAATACTTTCTACTAGAAAAAGCTCATTGGTTTTGGGGTGGGCCATTGGTTTAACGGGATGTTGAATAGTAAAATAGTTTTTTTAGCGGAGCAAATAAATTTTTTAGGGTCAATTATCATTCTAACCAGTTTATACATTAAAAATACTCGTGCTTAGAGATGTTCCAATGCGCATGTCATGCGCATCGTGCGCACGTAATTTTTGAAATCACGTGCATGTAATTTTTTTTTGTACATAGTAAATGTAACGCAAAAAAAATTAAATTTTTTTTTTATTATGAAATATTATCCAAATGACTCAAGAAAATTTTTGACAATTCTTTAGCATGGTCAAATATAGGTGAAGCAGATTTGGTAACATGGTGGAAAGGGAATTTTTCATTAGTTGCACCTGAACTGACTAATCTTGCATGTTTATTTGTGCGATTAACCAAATTCGATTAATTTCCACATGGTACATACATTTTTCTTTGTGATGATTTTTTTTTCATGCATTTATCTTCTTCCAGAAATTCAAACTTTCGAAATACTCAAATGAAACCAGAAAGAGAAAATCATTTAAAAGGGCAATATATCACATTTATTGTTACTTATTGCTTTTTTGCCCTATCTCAGAATATTAATAAATCTAAACAAGATTTACAATTTTTTAACAACTGCCGAAGACCAAAAAATAAATGCAATATCAATTGTTTATATCAGGATGAAAAAAGATCACTGGATTGAGCAACATAAATTGAAAGCAATTGTGGAATGTGCTGTTGTTTCAGCTAGCAATATATTCAAGGAAGGATCTCTTCGCCAATTAAGAATTTTTTGAATTTATTAGAGGTTGGTTTATTTCAAGATTTATCAGACTTAATATATATATATGATGATATTGTGTGATCTATTCAAAAATGAATGCTGAATAAATAAATCTAGGATTTGTTTGCTTATATTTTTTTTTTGCTCATTTAGCTCACTTTAAATACTTGTGCATAATAGGGGGTGATAATTTATAGTCTGTTATGCAGATTTATAGTTCACTCTAGAAACCTATTATGTGAAAAGGTTATTGCCATGATGAGGAGTGAAATATAATGTAAGTTTTTATGAAGCTAACTAATATCACACAAAGTTTCATCTGCATGATGGCCACACAACCAGTGTTGAAAATTCAATCGGGGGTGTCACGTTGCACAAATTATGTGCACGTCTATTTATAAATATATTATAAAAACGAAAAATTGGCGTGTAACTTTTACTTGCTATTTTTCTTATTTAAATTCTTGTCTATCTTGAGAATCATTACCTCGTAACTCTGAGAATAGAATGATCTGAGTTTGTTTGTATGTCAGATCACGTTTTTTTTGCGTATGTCAGATCACATTTTTTTTGCGTGCAACATTCTTTTGTAAAAAAAAACCTTCGTATTTTTGTATTCGCTTAAAAAAAAAATCCGTTTAAAAAAACCCTTCATATTTTCATATTCGCTTAAAAAAAAAAAATCCTGCTACTGATTATTAAATTTTTTTTTTTCAAATTATATCTACCTTTGTTTTGTTACTATTATTTAACTTACTATGTTTTTTTTAGAAAGTAAATCTTTTTTGAGATCATCCTTTTTGTGACTTAAAAGACTTAGTTGATTCTTTTTAACTATTCTTAAAAATATTTAGTCATTAAATTTTTATTCTTACCCAATTTGTTTGGTAAAAGAATAAAAAATTTTTCTCATTCGGTAAAAAAATCTTTTCAATTACAGAAATGGTTTGATTGATTTTTTTACAATGTGGAGATGGTACAACTCGTGGGTTTTCTAACAATTATTAAAAAAGATTATATAATCCATAACTTTTCTTTTAATAGTTCTTTTATACCTTTATTTGTTTAAAATTAAAATTATAATAATAAAGGGTCTTTTCAATTATAAAAACAGTTTGATTAAATTTTTTTTTTGACAGTTGACAACGTGGGGATAATGCTAATGACTCGTGGTTTTTTTTGGTGGCTGTGAAACATCACTTTTATCATCTTTTCGTTTGTAAAAACAGTTTGATTAATTTTTTTTTTAGACAATTGACAACATGGGGATAATGCTAATGACTTGTGGTTTTTTTGGTGGCTGTGAAACATCACTTTTATCATCTTTTCGTTTGTAAAAACAGTTTGATTAATTTTTTTTTTAGACAATTGACAACATGGGGATAATGCTAATGACTTGTGGTTTTTTTGGTGGCTGTGAAACATCACTTTTATCATCTTTTCGTTTGTAAAAACAGTTTGATTAATTTTTTTTTTAGA